CAGCCGTATATGTTTGAGCCCTTGCCTCGCAACGCTGCCAGTTCTGTTAGCTCTAAGCCTGCCGAAGACACAGACGTCCATCCCCGTGAACACTGGGATGGAACTCAATGGGAAAGTAAAAGATTCTTATTTCTTATTTCAACTATTGCGTATATTAGATGCGACATATGAATCAAGATCGTATGACCGCAAACATTTGATTGACAGATGACCGTTGATATATGATTGGCCGAATTTAGGTGTTCAGGCTGACGTATAACTAACTGGCCTGGATAAGATAACGAAAAAAAAACACAGATTTTTTTTTCAGCATTTCTTTTTTTAAACAGAAATTTTCTAAAGCCAGAATGATTAAACATTTAAAAATGGTTTCAGTTTTTGTGTTATTTCGCTCCTGGTTAACAAGAAATAAAACTGATAATTCTAGATTTCTTCTCAACTGAAGCAGAAATAGGTTATAGTTAATATAACAAACAGGTTTCTCTGTTGTCAATAGTCTGTAGTTAAATAAACTGTTGTTAAAGTTTGTGTGGGGGCAAGAACTTAACAAATTAAAACTAAAGTAAATGTACATATGTAGACTTAGACAGATTTATTTTATCATTTATTTTGAGTGTAGACAAAAAGAATTTTCATTTGAAACAGCTCTAGAAAATTTTATTTTTTAAAGTACAGCCTTGAAAAACAGAAATAAAAACATAAAAAAACAATAGTAATATAAACAAATGACTGAATATTTACAGTTCTAAACCTTTTTTACATATATAAATAAAATAATCCATTTTACACAACATTCAGCTGTCTAATAGCAGTGGGGAAGAAACTGTTGTGGAATCTGCTGGACCTGCATCAGGTGCTTCGAAGTCTCTTCCCAGAAAGCAGCAGGAAGAACAGTCCATGGTCGGGGTGTGAGGGGTCATTGATGATGTTACGGGCTAGCGACACACAGTGCTGGAATGGCCAATATCCTCTACCTAATCCTCTATCAAAGGAACAAGCATATAAAGAAATTATCAACTTCTAATTAATCGTTGATTAGTTTTTCCACTCAACTAATTGAACATATTGCGTTTCAGTGGTGTAACGTTACTGACATCCACTAGTAGGCGCACTGTCCATTTTAATGCTAAGCCTCACTGGTATTTATAAAAGAAGTAATGCCAGGGAGCAGAGGCATGCTAGAGCAGAAACATGAGTCCAGTCAGGGATTGTTTACAGTTTAATGGTGATAACGATGCATAATTAATTATTAATTAAGTTATCACCGAATTAAGGCCAGATTATTCTTCTGCAACTACACACATCAAATGTCGCTTAGGTTTGGTCGCAAACCAGTTTTGCTGGTATTTTTCTGCACTGTCGCTCTGGAATTTCTAGGGACGCACAGCAGTTTCACACCATAGTGCAAGGGGAAGCCTATTCGAAAACTTGCGAGAACTTCGGCGGGGCCGGCGGGAGTTTTTATCTTCCAAAACAACAATGGCGTGTCTGCAAGATATCACAGAGATAGATCTAGAGTTGCTAGACATCGAAGTGGAACAGGTTCTGGTAATGGAGTTGGCAAAAAGACAAAGGAGGACACATAGGTTGTCCATTGCAGTTGTTCCTCGGTTTTTAAAAATGGCGCGCCCCGGCACCAAATCTAGAAGGACGACCACACAGACAACCGGAAAGGCATACCAGCTGCTTTTTTGTCTGCGCACTTCCGCTTGAGGTCTGCATAATCAGGATTTGATCAGAGACAAACATTACAAACAAAAACTCACGCACACAATCACACCTAAGGAGTATGTAGAGCCAATCAACCTAACAGTCATATTTTTGGACTGTGGGAGGAAGCTGGAGTACCCGGAGAGAACCCACGCATGAGAACATGCAAACGCCATACAAAAAAACCCAGGGCCAGGAATTGAACCCGGAACCTTCTTGCTGCAAGGCAGCAGTGCTACCCACTGCACAACTGAGCAGCCCCGCTATGAGAACAGCACAATTTAAAAAGCTCGTGCACAAATGGGCTTGTGCATGCTCTTATTTTTTTTTTTAAGTGGAGAGGGGGCGGGTCTTTCAAACATCCTCCACAATACCTTTAAGAATGAATGGATATGATAAGGAGTAAATGGAGATAAAAGGCTATACAGGATTGGTAGCTAGTCAGACAATGGTTAGGCGAGTCTAAATAGAAAAATATAAAACCCTTTATTGTCCCACCATGGGTAATTCACACTCTGCATTTAACCCATCCCCTTGGGGAGGAGTGAGCCACCATTGTGTGAGGATAAGGGTCTTGCTCAGGAACCCAGAGTGCAGGCTGTGGGAATCGAACTGGGTACTCTTCTCAGAGCACAAGTGCACTGCTATAACCACTAGGCTAGCACTCCCCAAAGAAATAGATTGTATCTGTGTAGAAACACAATCTAAAGCCTGCGCTTAGGGAGTATGTTTCAACTGGAATTCAAACCCATTCAAACCCATTCTGCAAGGCAAAAGTACTACTACACATCTCAAATAAGGAACAAAAAATGTC